CTCCTCCTCCTCCTCTTCCTCCTTCCTCCTTCCTCCTCCTCCTCCTCTCCTCTTCCTCCTCCCTTCTCCTTCTTCCTCCTCCTCCTCCTCCTCCTCTTCCTCCTTCCTGCTCCTCCTCCTCCTCTTCCTCCTCCCTTCTCCTTCCTCCTCCTCCTCCTCCTCCTCCTCTTCCTCCTTCCTCCTTCCTCCTCCTCCTCCTCTTCCTCCTCCTTCTCCTTCCTCCTCCTCCTCCTCCTCCTCCTCTTCTCCTTCCTCCTTCCTCCTCCTCCTCCTCTTCCTCCTCCTTCTCCTTCCTCCTCCTCCTCCTCTTCATCTTCCTCCTCCTCCTCCTCCTCCTCTTCCTCCTCCTTCTCCTTCCCTCCTCCTCCTCCTCCTCCTCCTCCTTCCTCCTTCCTCCTCCTCTTCCTCCTCCTCCTCCTCTTCCTCCTTCCTCCTTCCTCCTCCTCTTCCTCCTCCTCCTCCTCCTCCTCTTCCTCCTCCCTTCTCCTTCCTGCTCCTCCTCCTCCTCCTCCTCTTCCTCTCCCTTCTCCTTCCTCTCCTCCTCCTCTTCCTCCTCCTCCTCCTCCTCTCCTCCTCCTCCCTTCTCCTTCGCTCTCCCTCCTCTCCTCCTCTCTCCTCTTCCTCCTCCCTCTCTCTTCCTCCTCCCTCCTCCTCCTCTTCCTCCTCCTCCTCCTCCTCCTCCTCCTCCTCCTCTTCCTCCTTCCTCCTCTTCCTCCTCTTCCTCCTCCTCCTCCTCCATCATCAGCAGCAGCATATCTCAGATGCCTCACAGTCAGCAGCTGTTCATCTCTCTGTTAAAGAGTCCGCTCGTTGTGTGTGAGGATGAAAAACAGACGTGTGCCCCCCCCCCTTTCTGTTTGGTTTGGCCCCGGTCTGCACTGAAGGGCCCGGCTGAGGGGTTCAGGGTTGGGGGGGGTCAGGGGGGGTCAGGGGGGGTCAGGGTCAGGTTTGTTTATTTAGCAGCTTAAGCCCCTGAGAAAAGACGAGAGATGATCAAAATGTTCTGAAGCGTAGAGGAAGAGCGGCTGCTTCAAAGCTGCACTTAAACGTTAAGAGAGATATACGGTCAAGAAGAAGCATCCTGCTGTTTGACTACTTGTGTCTTTAGTGAGTATCTGTGTTTGTCTCTTTCTGTTCCTCTGAATGTTTGACTACTTGTGTCTTTAGTGAGTATCTGTGTTTGTCTCTTTCTGTTCCTCTGAATGTTTGACTACTTGTGTCTTTAGTGAGTATCTGTGTTTGTCTCTTTCTGTTCCTCTGAATGTTTGACTCTACTGTTCACATTGAAGATGTTTTTTCCTGATGTTTCTTATTATCATGATCGCTCCTCTCCGTCTGTCTGCCTCCTCGTATTCAGCCGGGTTTCTCTTTACTCCCCCTGTCCGTCTATGCGTTATTACAACCCCCCAGCCCCCCCCCTCCCCCCGTGGTCACTCAATAGAAAAACAATAATAAAAAAAAACACCCCGATTTCCCTCTTCCTCCTTCTCCTCCCACACTCCCCCACTAATGATGTCCACCGGCCACAAAATGAGGCCCGACGCCAGAGGACAGAGAGCGAGTGAGGGGCGAGTGTGTGTTTGTGTGTACAGATATGTGTGAGTGTATGTGTACAAATGTGTGTGTGATAATGACAGACTTGATTTCAGCTTGTTAACTAAAAGTGCAGTGAGAGTTCGGTGGTGGAACTCCTCTCCTCTCCTCTCCTCTCCTGTCCTCTCCTCTCCTCTCCTCTCCTCTCCTTCTCCTCTCCTCTCCTCTCCTCTCTTCTCCTCATTCCCTCTCTTTCATCTTCTTTTATTCCTTCTTCACTTCCTCCTTTTGCCTCCTCATTTTCTCTCCTCTTTCTCTTTCCTTGTCTCCTTGCACTATTCCTCCTTCTCTCCCTGGTTCCTTTGTCCCATCCTCTTTATTCTCGTCCGTAAGGTCAGATGTTTAGATTTCCTCTTCTCTCTCACACTCGTCCTCACAGACCTCTCACTTCATTTTCACTTCTCCTCTGATGTCATCTGAAATATATTTAGATGATTGAAATCAGAGAGTCTCAGCAGCTCCACAGTTTCCTCTCGTATTGTTCACCGAGCTCCACTTTGCAGATACTAATCGCACGTTTGGCTCCGTCTTCTGCCTAGCAACACAACTCTGTTCCAGGAAGTAAAAAAACACAAAATGAATTGTTGCAGAAGTTTCGTTTTACTGCCGGAGTTCCCACAGAGGTCTGAAGTGTTGTCTTTTAACCGTACGGTGGGGAAAAGGACGCACAGAGGTCTTAAAAAAGTCCTCAACACTCACATTAGCAGAAAATATTTCACTTACAACTTCAGGATGAGGAAATGTAAAACAGCTGCCAGGCCAAACCTTTAAATGTTCCATATTTATCACTGAGCATGCTTTATTTCTCAGAGTGAAAATAAAAATAAAATCATCAAACTCCAATCAAATAACTGGGTATTCTTATTATTATTCTGTGAAAAAAAGGCTTTCACATTTGCTCAAAACTCCTGAAAAACTCCTGATATATCCACTCTGAGCGTCATGTGTGAACACAAACAGCTGAATGTTTCTCTCTTCACTCAGAGTTTCTCCTCCAGCCTCCTCGTATTTATTCTGCAGAAAGTCAGAGTGAGCTGATGTGAGAACACAGCAGGATATAATCAGGAGAATTCACCTGGAGCCAGTGGGAGGGGCCAGTGGGAGGGGGTGGTGACCTTTATTTACCTGTGATCGCTGCATGACCATAGGCTGTCTGCACGCCACCTCTACCATCTCAATGCACGTTATTAAACTACATAGGCTTCTTGTGCGTTGGTGTGTATGCGTAGCTCTACAATTTTACGCCTATAAACATCAGTTAGCAGTCCGATTTCTGTGCTTGTTATATTTCCAGTTTCCTGTTCCGCCACATTCTCTATTTGATTGTGTACAGGAAACAATGGCAACTGTAACCCGAGTTTATTATGCTGGAGATGTAGCTAATAAATATTGAGGAACAGCTGTGTTTTTAAGACTTCATCGATATTTAACGTCTTACGTTGTTGTATATTTTCCTCAGTTGCAAAAGTCTCTTGCGAAAAATGATGGAAAATACGATCGGGAGTCAGAATATTGTGTTTTATTTTGAAAATGACCAGACGCTTTGTGCAGTTCCTGTCTGACTTCCTGTCTAGCTTGACAGTTACCTGCAGTGTACTCTGTTGAAAATAGACTTGCAGCGTATTTGAGTCCGTATAGAGCATGTATAGTGAAATGAACGACTGGAGGAGTATGTGACTTTACCCCCGCTGACCTTGTTCCAGAGTCCTCTTGATGTTGTTTACATCTTTTTAAGAAAGTCGCTCGGCTCATGTGCGGGGGCGAGTGAAGAGTGAAAACAGGAACAAGTCAAACGTTGGTCAAGCATTAAAGTGAAAGCAGTGAAAAGACTGAAGCCAAGCTGTGTTATGAATATTAATTTCATGTTGAACTTCTCCAGGAGACAAACATGACGATGAGCAGAGCTGACGGCTGCAGCTGTTTTCTGTCTGCTTCATTACTCCACTTTAGCTTCACTTTTTATTGAAGCAGCTCTCAGAAACCATCATGAAAACTCTAAAACAGGATCTTAGAATGACAAAAACAACAACTCTAAACAAACAGAGGTTAAAATAATTATTAATTCACCAACAACTGCCGAATGTTTGTTAGCCTGGATGCTACTCTTGAGCCACTTTTTTCCACTTTAGCTTCAAATAAAGGGTCTAAAAAAATGTTTTTTCTTTCTTCTTGGTTTGCATTTAGTCTCCAAATTTAGCCAGTTTGACTTTTACCTTGTGGTTTAATCCATAGACTTAAAAAATTAATGGACAAAGCCTGAGTGATGTCACCGGTCTGTTCCTGCAGGGGGCGCTGGAGTCCCATCGATGGCGGTCTCCATGCTGGAAATGCTGTCTCAGTCTAACTTTCAGTCAACCTAACGACAGGCTGAGAGCTGGAGCTGAGGCGGGTTTTTTGTTTTTTATAAATTGTAGTCTAAAACTTTCATCCCCAATTCTTCCTGTCTGTCATGGCCGTGTTTTTTTTTTTACTGTAAAGTGTCTTAATGTCAGCAGAAAAACTTTGAGCGTTCAGTTTTTAAATCTTATTATCTCTGGTCACCATGTGTGGGGTCTCTCTCACTTTCCGCATGTGTTGAGGTTTTAAAAAATATTCTAATTTGTGCCAGGCTTTAGTTCATATCAGACAGCCATGAACGCCTCTCACAGAACGGGTCAGAGGCGTCTTAGTTTCCACAACATCACGGCTCAATCTGGTTTCTATGGTTTTTTAATTGAACTGTTTGTTGATGTGAAAGAGACCACGTTAGACTGATCTGTGCTCGATAAACTCTTTGACCAGGAAATGAGCAGAAGTTTTACTGTGATCATTCAAAGGGCAGAACATCATGAACATGTGCCTCCTCTCTCTGCTGGAGGGGTCAGAGGTTTCGAACCTGATCCTGGTCAGGGTTCAGACAGAAACATCCAGCAGGAGGTCAGAGGAGGACGGGGCGGTTTTGATACTTAAAAAGTTAAAGGGGAAAGTTTTCACATGTTTGTGTTTAAAAAGGTGATCTGGATAAATCTGTTTCACAGTTTGTAATTTTGTGGGTCAGTGTGCTGAAGTTGTCAACATAATTAATCCTGGCACGCTGGTAGCCTAGTAGTTAGTGCGTGTGCCCCATGTACAGAGGATAACTGCCGAGGTGCCCTTAAGCAAGGCACTGACCCCCCCCCCCCCCCCCCCACCAGCAGCTCAAGAGTGCTCGCTGTGGGTAGCCCCTTACCGCAAATATTTCCAACAGTTATCAAAGACAGAGAAATCCTCCATTTTATAGTTGTAATGGGATCTGTTTTCTCGTGGCAGCCATGACAGAGCGGCCATGTTCATCGTTGCCATGGAAACACAAAGGCGACTGCATAAGGAAGCATGAGCTGCTACTGAAAGCTGCCATTCTGTTGCTGTATGTGCTGCTGTGATAAAAACATCATGTAAATTAAACTCAGATACATTAGCTCGTCTGTAGATATTTTCTCTTCCTTTCAAAACCATCGCAACGATGATGATTACTGTATTTTACGCAGGACTTTACGCTTACTAGGAGGCGTACGTTTGAACTCAGTGCAGAAGTTCAACACTAAGTGAAGCGAGATCGATGGTGTTTATGGCCACAACAATCTCCAACATCATGATCCCCTGAATCAAATCAATCTAATGTAGTTTCATGCTGTGAGCTTTCTAGGGATTGAATGTGTTGTGAATAGAAGATCTGTGATCTTTGCTGCATCGTCCTTATTTGACACCGATCTGTAATTACAGTTAATGCATCCTCCGCCTGCTTATTTTCATGTTGGGTCTTGAAGGACCTGCAGGATCCAAATTCAAGCCTCCAGCTCGGAGCACGATGAAAGTCATAGACAGAAAAAAAAAACGCTTGAAACAGGTCACGGCTCTCCCGCTGAGGTTTAGTAAAGCTCTGGTTCACAGCCAGTTTGTTTTGCTGGGAGTCGTGGAAAACATTCAGCTCCATAATCAGAAAATCCTGTTGTAGTTTCTGATCAGTTCAGTCACACGGAGAGAGATAGAGAGAGAGAGAGAGAAGAAGGTTAGTGTGTTGCTGATCTGACACCTGGACCTGCAGACTGTTACAGCTGGCAGACGTTCATCTTTTCAAAACTCTCCCACCGTTCACACAATCCATCCTCATCGTCATCCCTAAACCTGCCAAGACACAAATACTGTAGCCATACACACACACACACACACACACACACATAGACACACTCAAGAACACACGGACTGAACCGTTTTCCAAAAGCCATGTCTTTATCTTTCCATCTTAATTCACTTGAATCAATCCATCTCTCAGTTTCAGCCAAGTCTAGACACAAACCTGATAACACACACCACACAGGGCTGTCACGGCACCAGATTTTCTAAAACTAGGACACATTACCAGTAAAATGTCAAACGACATTATTGCC